AAAAATTCCATTATAAAGTATCTTTTGTAGAAAGAAACAGAACCAGTATACATGACATAAGCAATGTATTGTAAGCAATGTAGAAAAGTTTAGTAAATCATACCCACTTACGTATAATTTATTTCGTTATTGAACTAAGTAAATGTTGAAGGAAGTCAGCTGTGTTTGATAGGAATGGCCATGTTCCATTCAGAGGAATAAAATCAAAATGGTCTTTCGGACTTCAAAGGCCTATCCTATCTGTCAATAAGCACATCTTACAAACAAATCCCCTAGATATGATTCCAATTTCACGTCTAAAATGAAATAAGCGAACTATAATCGACNCTAAGTAAATGTTGAAGGAAGTCAGCTGTGTTTGATAGGAATGGCCATGTTCCATTCAGAGGAATAAAATCAAAATGGTCTTTCGGACTTCAAAGGCCTATCCTATCTGTCAATAAGCACATCTTACAAACAAATCCCCTAGATATGATTCCAATTTCACGCCTTAAATGAAATAAGCGAACTATAATCGACAGTATTCTATGAGATCCAATAGTACGATAAGAAAGAAATATATGTCAGAAATACGGATTTCTTCGATCAGTAACATGAAATTGATGTGGCCTACATGTGCATATCACTTACAGGGACAGAAATAGCTGGAAGGCCAAGAAGATTTGCTGGTATAACGAATCGCATAAGATTACCTGAAATAAGAACATATTTATAAATTGTCTAGAATAGAATAAAAGCTGCAAATAGGTCTGTTAGCTGATCTGATTTGGATCAATTTCATTTTCACAACCCTTATCCCACTCTCTGAAAAATAGAAAATTTGTTCTGAGCTGAATAACTCAATTAGGGTTGAATTATATGAAATTATGTCAGAATTTCAAATTAAATTCATTCTATATACGCATACACGCACACATACAAATATATGCATAACTCAATTAGATTTGAATTTTAGCAAATTATATCTTAATTTCATCCTATATTTTTATATGAATATATATCATTCGCATTGAATCAAAATTGAATTGAACATTGGTATATCCAAATTCAAATAAGTGCAATATGATGTATTGGATTTGAATTTGGATAACAGATCCAAAATACCAATCTATATCTGACTAATTTCATCCTATATTCTAATGTGCAAGTTAAAAACACCAAACAACCTACCCGTAACCTGCAAATCTGTCTCCCCAAATTTAAGGGCTTCAGGTGGTATTACAGGTGCTGTCATGCTGAAAAAAGGAAAGCGCATTACCTTGATTGGAGTAGATCAAAGAGAAATTCTAATTGATGGCAATAAACAAAAGATGCAGTCGCTAAGACAGAAATAGATCGGGCCTTCAAATACGTATAATATCTGATTCACACAAACACAAAAGATAGGGATATCCAGCAAAAATATATGTTTCACATATTGTCAAAGAAATTAGCAGAGGAACTGATCATACCCGGTTGTGGGCGTCACTATGACATCCACCTTCTTGAAAATCTCCATGTGGTAGTACATTAGCCTTCGCCTGCAATAAATCAAATGAAGCTGATCTATACAGTTTAAAGCAACCTTTTAAACATTGATGCATATTTTTTCCCAGATGTTTTAGCAAAACATGTTCATTCACATGTAAATTGCAGTCAAAAAGCATTTGCATAGATAGCAAGCNGCAACCTTTTAAACATTGATGCATATTTTTTCCCAGATGTTTTAGCAAAACATGTTCGTTCACATGTAAATTGCAGTCAAAAAGCATTTGCATAGATAGCAAGCACGTGATGGTTAACATATAATGAACATGTTTTGGGTTAACAAGAGCAACTATAAGATATGTTGAAGACAACACTACTTGTCCATTCATGTTTCATCCACTCTGAATGAAAGACCAGATCATCTTCCAAGGTAATAAATTTTCTCNAGCATTTGCATAGATAGCAAGCACGTGATTGACGTGATGGTTAACATATAATGAACATGTTTTGGGTTAACAAGAGCAACTATAAGATATGTTGAAGACAACACTACTTCTCCATTCATGTTTCATCCACTCTGAATGAAAGACCAGATCATCTTCCAAGGTAATAAATTTTCTCCTGGACTAGTAACTATCGAGATATAGAACACGAGCTCAGTTAATTAGCACACTTAATCTAAAAAGATTCCAGCTTCAGCATAAGGACACAACAACTTCTTTTATACAATTTTCTTTTATCAGAAACTAGTGTTTGCCAAGTTGATCATTACATGCCCGTGAAAATAGAATAACTCTGCTCCTGAAAAGAGCAAATATTCAAAGATTAATGTTTTTCCAACTTACAACTTAAACCAGGTAACTGGCAAATTCAGAATTACTGGCTGCATCAGGAACTAGCTTCAGAATTTCTTCTATTATCATCATTTTTCAAGAAAATCATTGCCATCTGAGACTCAACCAAACCTTTTGAACTTAGTGATGCAGACCAATTGTGCTACTCCTATTTGTTTGAAACCAAATAGCATATCAACCCTGGTTGGCATTGTTGCAACAGACTTCTAAAGAAAAAGAATAGAACAAGTGACAGAAAAAAAATCCGAACATGCAAGCAAAGTAAAATGTAGTATGCATTACCATTGGATGGAAAGGGGCCAAAGGGCTGATACTCGATTTCAGACAGCTTGACCATTATCAACATTCAACAGCCCAATTAGAATAAATGCTATTGTTATTTGAACAAATTCAAGGACTAGTATATTTCTAATCAGTATTCATTAAGCACAAAGAATATATCATTCGATTCCAGACAATTGGAAAGAAACATGAAAAAAAGTTGTTTCAGTAGTATGACTCCACTAATTTGGGAAAAAAAAGTTGCCTCACCTTAGGCGTTGGGCAGCAATGTAGTCCGAAGCTGTGAATGACCGAAAAAGAGCCAGATTAGTGCGAGTATCCAATGTAAGTTTCACCCCTTTCCTACACAAGAAAAAAGACACGAGCAATCCAGGTTAAAACAGATCCCTAAGGAACAATACAACATTGAGAGCCTGAAATTTGTGAAGTCGATTAACTTCAGTGAATCACCAGACCTATCTACTGACAACATGTAAAAGGAAAAGGAACATACCCATCCTCACAATCAGGCGTTAATGAACTTGTTGATTCAGAACCAATGGAAACAACATGAGCCATGCGCATCTCTTGAAGCTCAGGTACTACAATCTCTACCATCTTGGACCATAAAAAGTCAAAAGAATAATAACTAATATATGCATATATATTTAAACAAGCACACACACTATAGAACCAACAAAACCCGTAATATTGGGAGATGACCTTACCTTACATCCATGTGTCTCCGATAGCCGATTAAGAACATTCTCGCACGTAGCAGAGATCTCAGTTGAGAATACATCATTGAACCACTGCACGAGCAATGCCATAAACTAATAAGATGATTCGCAAGACCGATGACCTTAATACCATTTCCAGTAGAGGGAGATGTGATCACCTGTGTATACTTCCCTAATCTTAGCAATCCCAGAACATGTGAACACTCATGTGAAGATAAATCTGGCACATAGGGGAGAGACTGCAAATAGAGTAGATGGTGATTGATAATAACATGCATGAACTCTGGAACTTTCAGCATAGGCAAGTATAGATGTTCAAGGTCGTTTTAAAGTTGAAGATGGTTTCTCCTAGTCAACAAATATGGATTGGAGTTATATGACAATTAATGTGCTGTGAGTGGGACATACAAGCAAAAAAAACAAGAGAGTGGGACACACAAGTAAACTGTTTTTGTTCCTTATTATGGACTCCCTTTATCATTACAGTCTGATANTGGAGTTATATGACAATTAATGTGCTGTGAGTGGGACATACAAGCAAAAAAAACAAGGGAGTGGGACACACAAGTAAACTGTTTTTGTTCCTTATTATGGACTCCCTTTATCATTACACTCTGATGCAGGAAAAGCACTGTCAAATGGTGGATCTTGTACCTTTCAAAGCAACATCCTTATAATCTTAGTTTCCTTTATTGATTAAGAAGTTCACATTCATCTTTTATAGGCAACGATGTTGAGTGCTATGAAAGAATGCTTTCAAAATTGTTATTCAGAAAAAGATTGAAAACTAAATTTGCACAATTTGAGGACCATATAACACTGTAAAATACTTACCGGTTTCAAACAGATACTATCAGCAGGGGAGGAACCTAAGATTGCTGCATACCTGAAAAACAATGATAAATATGTAAGACCAAACTGTAAAAAATTAAGTCTCTCTTTAAAATGTCTATTAAGTGCGACTGAATAGTTTCATCATATGAAGGCTATGGTTAGGCACCAAAGTTTAAAGCAAAACAGGAACTTGGAGTATAAAGGTATTTCAACCATACAACGACATGAAAATTGATGTATTGTGGAACATTGCTTTTGCTTTAAATAAGAATTCAAACCAAACTTCTCAGGTACTGGAAAACTACAGCTGCAAGCACAGAAATTTTGTGGATGCAATCCATAAGAAAAATAATGAATTTCTAGATCCAAAGAAAACTAAGCTTAGAAAATTGGCTCAATCCAGGAGTAAGCCCACCTGGGATCTTAGACAACGGTATCCTTTCCAAAAATAAGCAATTTTAACAAATATTTTTCTTGTGTTTTTAGAGGCCTGGATATTTTAAGTATTGTGATATTTGCTGGACATGTTGTTAGTAATAGCATATGGATCTTAAGTTGCATGAAGATGGATTATTAGAGCCTTAGGTATGGTCCCTGGTAGGATTAATTAAGTTTAAGAATTCATTGTCTTTTATGAAATAGGGAGTTGAACTNCAATTTTAACAAATATTTTTCTTGTGTTTTTAGAGGCCTGGATATTTTAAGTATTGTGATATTTGCTGGACATGTTGTTAGTAATAGCATATGGATCTTAAGTTGCATGAAGATGGATTATTAGAGCCTTAGGTATGGTCCCTGGTAGGATTAAATAAGTTTAAGAATTCATTGTCTTTTATGAAATAGGGAGTTGAACTCCTATTAACATTTAGTATTGCCTAAAATTTTATGTAAAGGCATGTAATTAATTTAAGTAACTAGAGAAGATGTTTAGATAATTCCAGGGGCTTTAAAACTCTTCTAGGTTGTGTGATGAAATTCTAACCAGTGAATGCTTTTGGGAATCCAAGTTTAATGCCTGTTTTTCTNAGCCTTAGGTATGGTCCCTGGTAGGATTAATTAAGTTTAAGAATTCATTGTCTTTTATGAAATAGGGAGTTGAACTCCTATTAACATTTAGTATTGCCTAAAATTTTATGTAAAGGCATGTAATTAATTTAAGTAACTAGAGAAGATGTTTAGATAATTCCAGGGGCTTTAAAACTCTTCTAGGTTGTATGATGAAATTCTAGCCAGTGAATGCTTTTGGGAATCCAAGTTTAATGCCTGTTTTTCTTATTGTTCTCTATTTCTTTCTTGCAGTATATGCATGGGATTGGATCTATAAACCACTCTTCTCAAGCTTAACAATCCTAATTCTGTAAGCCCAACTATTCCATTTAAGTCTTTACCAAATATTACCCCCCCCCCCCCCCCCCCCCAAAAAAAAAAAAAACAACAACAACAAAAAATGGCACAAAAGTATTGTTCACAGGACCTTGAACAACCCCATAACTTTGCTTTTTCAATCCTAAATAAAGCCTCAAACCTTTACTCTTCTGTTATTCATTAACAAAGTCTTCACTAAAATCCAGCCTAAAAAATCAACCCTAATCTGCTTCTGAAGCCCCTTTTTCAGACCAAACATCAACCTTGGTCTCGAAGCTTGTAACAGAGTGTCTCATTGCACTTGTCAGGCCCAATCAGCATATGCATGCAGTGCTCGAAGCAACTTCGCTGAATCAATCTTTCCCCAAAAGCATATGTATGTTTACCTTACTTTCTCCCATCTCTCATGTCTTCAGTAGCTAAGTAAGTTTAAATGACAAAAATTAAATGGCTTAAACATTTTTTTATTTTTAAAATAAAATCCAGTGAAATTCCATCCAAGTGTGCCCTACAATACATAAACTAGCCAATTAGTGATATTATTATCATAAAGAAGCTTCCATTGGGAATAAAGGCAACTTAAACATCTATATCACCATCTATTTAACTACAATCAAGTTGTCAATTTATCCATAGGGGGAAAGATTGATAAAAAATTACTGAACAGACATTAATAAGCCCGTGAACCACTCACACAAGCATGACATCCTCCACTGTTGATGCGATTGGTCCAATAATCTCCACAGTCCCTGCATATATTGACCTGAAAGACTAAAAAGCTCAGAAGACGAAAAGCATGGTCCAGCATGATAAGAAATGTGTGCTTTTACGATGAATTGAGATCAAACATCCACAACATAACCAGAAACATATGACACGTAGGATGGGATACAAATTTGACCTATAAATGCAGATAGAGATAAGAATGTGCCTTTACTTACCACATGAAGAGCAATTGAGCGATGGCAAAGCATGCATACATGACAATAAGTAAAGAACTGAAAAGAANACCTATAAATGCAGATAGAGATAAGAATGTGCCTTTACTTACCACATGAAGAGCAATGGAACGATGGCAAAGCATGCATACATGACAATAAGTAAAGAACTGAAAAGAATACCAGGTTACACAAATACATGCACATATCACACGGATATAAATGGGTAGGTCGATAGATAAGAAATAAAAAATAGACTTCATGAAAAAAATCAGAAGATTAGCTAGGGGAGGCAACCATGCAACATTGCAACTTGGATTAGAGTTTGTTCTTACCAGTTACCACAACATTACAAAGCACTTTGAAGGATAACTGTTATCTAAGAAAATACATTCACATAGTTCAAGAGCTTACCCTCTCATGTCTGTCCGTCCATATGTTGTTTTCAAGCCCACGACCCCGCAAAGAGAAGAAGGAATACGAACAGAACCTGCCTTTTTTGAATAAATCAAGCATAAAAAATTAGGATGATTTTGAAAATTAAAGAGAATCATCCCAAGCCTAATGTGTTACGGTTGTACAACCTCCACCATCTGTTCCTAAAGCAGCTGGACAAAGTCCAGAAGCCACAATTGCGGCTGGGCCTGAGGAAGATCCTCCTGTATACCTTTCTGGAGCATGTGGGTTTCTTGTTGTCCTGCCATAATGAAAGGGATTGTTACTGAATATTCCCATGTCACACCAATGTACTACCAATACAAGAAATACTGGAGACAGTATAGCACGGTAAAGTGCAAGATCTTCAAAGTTTCTGCATAGGATAAGCAATAATCTTAAGCCAATAATTAAGTAACCCTAGTTAATGCGTTCCCAGACCGTCTCAGGCAATGTAGTGGGAGCAAAGTAAGTAGGCATTTGTGCTCACACGAGCTCTTAACTATGTTAAGAAGTATCTCATCTACGAGTTAACTGTCATATGAGTTAAGTGCAATTATAAAACAAGGTTCAATCGATTAACTTGTAATCATTTTAAAGACCACCTCAAAGAAATAAAAAAAATTTAAGCCAATAATATATTCAATCAGTGAGGAGCTGTTATTATGTCGCATTCAAATTATTAATCTGCAATGCATTTTAGAGATTCAAAGAGTTAATTGTCATATGAGTTAAGTGACATACTAACACAGGTCTCAATTGATTAAATCCATAATCATTTTAAAGACCACCTATGAATGAAAAACTTTTAAGCCGATAATACATTCAATGAGTGAGAGGCTGCTATTATCAAGCATTTAACTTATTAGTTTGAAATGCATTTTAAAGATCAAATTCCGCAATTAAATAAAAGTTAAAAACTGCACAGAGACAGACTCAGAAACTCCATGACAACTTCAACCTAAGCATTTTTTACAAAGAAACTCCCATTTTAGTCCAGTGTTTCTGGGTCAAATGCACAAATAACACATGTTTACATGTCTAACCAGGATCCATCCACCACACCTCTGAAATGCACAGGCCTTATTTCTCACTTATTAGACCCTAGGTTTAAGTGCTGTTCAATCACAAAACTTACCCATGATTAGGATTATTTCCAGTCGTTCCGAGGCCCAATTCATGCATATTTGCTTTTCCAACAAGAATTACACCACAGCTGCGTAATCTTGAGACACAAACTGCGTCCTTCTCAACAGGGCGAACCTCATGCATCCATGTTGTTGCACCTGTATGGACTAGTCAGCTAAATTTGGCAACTACTTAAGGAAATGTGAGGGACTAGAAAGTTAATTATACCCTTTGATGGATGATGGTAGCAATCTATATCATCCTTGATAGCCATGAAAATCCCATCCAATGTTGATAATGGATTTCCTGCACAATCCACAGCCACAAGAAAATTAAGATATACATAAAATCAGCCACAGTAAACATAAAGATATCGTGGAAATCAGGTGTGACATATTCATTTTCATAGGTTAGAGAATTATTACCTTGCTCAAACCTTTGTGTGGAAGCTGCAGCTTGCTTTCTTACATCCTCTGCATCAAACGAAATCAATAATGGTGTCGGGGGCTTCTTGTTAGCGAACCCCTCCATAGCTGAGATGAATTGCTCTGCAACCTATATGATAAAAATGGCATTATTCATTCCCAATAACTAAAAAGTAATAGGAAACCAAACAGCTATGAGCGACTTACAATAGAGGGGGTTGCAAGCTTGGACCTGTAAGCATATGCATAATCACGAATCTTCCAATAGCGGAATGATGCAGTGGAATCAACACTCCAACTGCCAGCAGGATCATAATGTGGAAGACACTTCAAGGCTGTTTCAACTCGGTCTTCAGGTTTTCCACTTTCCTCCAGAATAACAGCACCAATTTCCGGTTCTAGATGCATGCCATCCTAACCGGGTCAATTCATGTACAAAGGACTATAATTGATTTACCACAAGCAATAAATTTGATGCCCAATTCCATATTATGCACTAGTATCAGTTTCTCTATCACTAGGAATTAATGTGAAAAAAAAGGGATACACGTTAAGTAAGTTAAGTGTAGAGCCCCCTATATATAGCCAATGAAAGTTACAATAAGGATAAAAAGGGTAAAAAGGAAAAATTTAATAAACTCTAATAAACTAGGCTGCTATATCTCCAACACTCCCACTCAAGTTAGGCGCAAAAATGTCAACTAAACCAAGCTTGACAATAGAGTCCCGAAGAATGGATAGAGTGACAGGTTTGGTGAAAATATCCGCAACCTAATCACTAGTCTCCACAAACGACAGAGTGACAATACTACTACTAACCTTCTTCCGAATAAAGTGAATATCGATCTCTATATGTTTCGTCCTCTCATANTGGTGAAAATATCCGCAACCTAATCACTAGTCTCCACAAACGACAGAGTGACAATACCACTACTAACCTTCTTCCGAATAAAGTGAATATCGATCTCTATATGTTTCGTCCTCTCATGTAATACAGAGTTAAAAACAAGTTAAATAGCAGATCGATTATCACAATATAATATAGATGAAAAAGTCATTGGAAATCCCAACTCGCTAAGAATTGACCGTAGTAAGATAATCTCACATATGCCAAGTGTCAGTGCCCAATACTCTGTCTCTGCTGACGAGCGAGAAACAACTGACTGTTTCTTGCTCTTCCAAAAGATAAGATGAGTTCCTCGAAAAGTACAGAAGCCCGTAGTAGATCAACCGTCATATACTCCCCCATAATTTGAATCTGAATAACAGGCTAGAGAACCAGTCTAAGATCCTGATGCATAGAACAACCCAAGTCTAGGACAAGACTTGAGGTACTGAAGAATATGATAAACTGCATCAAGATAAGGCTAACATGATCTGTGCATGAACTAACTAACTCAGCTGACAGCGAATGAAATGTCTGGCCTAGTGTTGGCTAGGTAAATAAGTCTACCTACCAACCTTTGATAGACAATCGAATCTCTCAACTCCTCACCTTCAGCAATAAGCTTCAGATTTGGAATCATGGGTGATGATGTCGGTTTACACATCAGCATCATAGTATCTGAGAGAAAATTCAGAACATACTTTCTCTGAGAAAGAACAATACCTCTGCTGCTACAGGCAACCTAAATCCCAAGAAAATATCGCAAAAATCCAAGGTCCTTTATATCGAAGGTCTTCTCAAGGTCTACCTTGACCTACGCAGTCCCAGGAACATCATCTTTAATAATAATAATATCATCAACATATACCAAAAGGATAACACACTGTCCGAAAATATTCTGTCGAATAAAGCAGGTATGATCAAAATGACATCTGGTGAACTCTAAACATACAACTACATCACTAAAGCACAAGAAATAGGCTCGTGGTGACTGTTTCAGTCCATAAAGAGACTTACGTAGTCGACAAATCTTTCCAGCATACTCCCCCTCACCAAGAAAAGCCCATTGCTGTATCCATATAAATAATTTCATCCAGATCACCATGAAGAAATAAATTCTTCACATCCAACTGATAAAGAGGCTAAGAGTACTCTGCAGCCACAAAAATAATCAGTCAAACAACAGTCAATTTAGATACGGGGGCAAAGGTAGCACCAAAATCACGACCTAGTACCTGAGTAAAACCCTTTGCCAAAAGCCTAGCCTTGTGACGATCAATAGTACCATCTGTAAGAAACTTTCGGGTGTAAACCCAGCGACAGCTAACAGGCTTTACCCCTGAAGGTAAAGAGTCAAGATCCCATATATGATTTCGTTGAAGAACATCCATTTTTGTCTGCATGGCAAAAACCCATTGGGGCTCCTGCATAGCCACTGAAATAGAGCGAGGAACCGGCGTATCTGATAAGGTCATATTATAGGCTCGAAATNGCTAACAGGCTTTACCCCTGAAGGTAAAGAGTCAAGATCCCATATATGATTTCGTTGAAGAACATCCATTTTTGTCTGCATGGCAAGAACCCACTGGGGCTCCTGCATAGCCACTGAAATAGAGCGAGGAACCGGCGTATCTGATAAGGTCATATTATAGGCTTGAAACATGGGATATAAGTCACCATAAGAAACATAAGCAGAAATCAGATATAAAATCTTGATGGTCCAACTATAACGAACAACTGGACGACGATCACGCCGCGGATAATGACGCCCTAAATCATCATCCTCCACTGATAATGTCTCATCAGATAAAACAACTGGCTCAGTACCTGCAATCTCATCAGTACTAACAACGGATGCATCAATATGCTCAACGAACTGATAAGTATTACCTGCATCGCTTGAGGTAGATGGGTCATCAGCAGGGGGATGAGAGCGAGGGCGACGAACATAAACTTGCAAAGGAAGNTCCAACTATAACGAACAACTGGACGACGATCACGCCGCGGATAATGACGCCCTAAATTATCATCCTCCACTGATAATGTCTCATCAGATAAAACAACTGGCTCAGTACCTGCAATCTCATCAGTACTAACAACGGGTGCATCAATATGCTCAACGAACTGATAAGTATTACCTGCATCGCTTGAGGTAGATGGGACATCAGCAGGGGGATGAGAGCAAGGGCGACGAACATAAACTTGCAAAGGAATAGAGACTAGTGACTCTGTACTGATAGGGATGAGTAGCTCTGGAGGAGGAGAAACTAATGACTCTGTAGTGATAGTGACCAATGGCTCTGGTGGTAATGGAGAATCAAAAAGAGTATCATCAACTAGAGGGCAAACACAGGACTGGAAGAAAAATAAGAAATATGCTTAATAAAGGTAACATCTAGATTACATACGATGCCTAATAGGATCATAACGCCGATACCCCTTAGACTGATGACAATAGCCCACAAAGACATAACGAATCGCTTTATCATCAAGCTTATGACGAGTAGGAGACCGATTCCTAACAAAACATGTGCATCTAAAAACACGAGGGGAGACCAAAAAAAGTGTTCGCTCAAGAAATAAGACCTGTAAGGGAGTCCTATGCTGAAGAACACGACTCGGCGTACTATTACATAGAAAGGTAGAAGTCAAAATAACAAAATGCCAATAAGATTTTGGTACCACATGCCTCTAAGCATATAACGCACTATCCCTATCAGACTCCTCTTTTTTCTTTAAGCAACGCCATTTTGCTCAAGTGTATATAGACAAGTGAGTTGCTGAAAAATATCCTGAGAAGAAAGGTGAGACACTAAAGCATCAGACACATTGTTTGACATTATCCGAATAAAAAGCACGAACAATGACATCGAATTATATCTTAATTATCTGTAGAAATTGAATGATTATAGGGAGTACATTGGACTTTCTATACAAAAGGTAAACTCAAGCACAATGGGTATGATCATCTATAAATGTTACATAGTATCGAACACTTGACAGAGCAGTAATAGGAGAGAGTCTCTAAATATCAGAGTGTATTAGGTCAAATGGCTTGGGTGACTGATGCATGTGAGGAATATAACTGGTCCTAACATGTTTCGACAGGGAACATATAACACAGTCAAGTTTACCATCAACAAAAGTATTGCTCAAAGCAGAAAACAACATACATAAATATTTAAAATTTGTATGTCCAAAACGGTTATGCCACAACTGAACAGTTTGTGACGAAAAATTATAACGACAACTACTAGGTAAAATACTAGCATGCAAGCTAGGAACAAATAAAGACAAAGCAGATGCAAGTGATGTAGATGAAGGAACTGATGAAACTAGAGGTGATCGCCTAGATAATACAGTTAATCTCTCTCATGTCCCCTGATAATAATCCTCCTGGTACTTAGGTCCTGCAAATAACAGGAATCAGATAAGAACACAACCGCACAGTAAAAATCTTTGGCTAACTGATGTACAGATAATAGATTCATGGCCAACTTTGGCGCATGAAAAATCGAACGTAATGTAAAGTCATCTGGGAGGCAGACTGTACCCCTACTAACAATAAAGGCATGTGTCCCATTTGCTAACTAAACCTGTATATGTAACTGCTTGTCAAAAGTAGTGAAGTGATGGGCCTCACCTGTCATGTGACCATCCACACCCGAGTCCAGCATCCATAGGAGAGACAGACTAGTACAAGCATGTAAGGCACGAGATATACCTGTAGTAGTGGCAGCAGCAGTAGTCGGACTCTGAGAAGTAAAAGCAGACATAAGTATATCTAATCGGAAAGTAATAACATCCATATTACTCTGCCAAGGAGGAGGAGTAACAGGAGTAGTGATAGTAGGTGATGGTACCTCAGCAATAGTAGTAGTACGACAGCGAGGAGGTGGCTTAAGCTCTGGATGGAGCTTTCAACAAGCAGCCTTGAGATGTCTTGGTCAGCCACAATAATCACACTAATGAGAATCCCCCCTATTTGTGCTGATTTGGGGCACCTTGACAGTGCTAGTGCGCTGCCCACCCCTAACTGAGGATCCTGAACGAGACCCTACATCTGCTACAAAGGTCATATGATCAGCCGGAAGAGTCAAGGCTGCAACTGGAAGTGATGCAATACGGACGCGGCGCTCATGCTACTTAATCATCGCATACACCTCATAAAGAGAAGGAAGCGTCAACATCAATAAGATTTGGGAACGAGATCTTTCAAACTCATCACGAAGCCCCATAAAAGGAACTTGTGAATTTTATCCTCCTGCTCTCGAATATGCAAGAATGCTACTCCCTCGGGCTCTATCCTTGGAATAGCAGCAAGAGGACGTAGAGTCTCATACTCAAGTCAGCTTTGGGTCAAATAGCAATAATAATCTTGAATGGTCATATCTCTCTGCCGAGTATATGAGAGCTCCTGAGAAAGCTCATAAACATGTACTGCCCATCCTGACTGGGAATACATCTTTGTTAATGTGCTCCATAGCTTCGGAACAGAGCTATGAAACTGGTGAATTCTGNCTTTGGGTCAAATAGCAATAATAATCTTGAATGGTCATATCTCTCTGCCGAGTATATGAGAGCTCCTGAGAAAGTTCATAAACATGTACTGCCCATCCTGACTGGGAATACATCTCTGTTAATGTGCTCCATAGCTTCGAAACAGAGCTATGAAACTGGTGAATTCTGTAAACAAATGGCTCCCTCGAGCTAAATAACCATCCAAGAATAGCGCAGTTCTCAAAGAACCATGTAGAATATCTAGGGTTGGCATCAGCTAGCTTTAGGTGAGATCCCGTCAGCCAATCAAGCTTCCCTACATGGCCTAAGAAAAGCTGGAATGAGCGAGACCACTCAGCGAAGTTACGACCATTCAACAACTGTGCCGTAACTTTCTGAGAGATCATGCCTGACAGTGCTGGTAATGCAACTGTGCCAATAGGTACTATATACTAGTCAAATATAAAAGTGAAAGTATCAATAGATGTCTCAACGGTAGAAGTGTCAACAGTAGGGGTCTCAAGTCCCTCAGTAGTAGTCATATCAACAATAATACTAGGGCACCCGTGACAGAAAAACAATTCTAAGATAAATAGAGGGATAAAATAAAGGAGAACAATATACCTCTAGTTGAACAGTAGGGACAGATAAAGAAGGTCCAGAAAGCTCCCAAATAATTAGGTCACAGTGCCCAGAAATCTAATAAATATAAATAAATGATCTACTGCATCAAGAGCATATCAACGAAGAAGAGAATTCGAACCCTCTTAAAAGGTCCTACGGTCGCAAATAATCAGGCGCACAAAGTCAAAACACAAAACTGTGATGAAGAGTGTGACCCAACTGGTTCGCTAGGGTGAGTACTGTGTTGGGTTTGGGTTTGACTGGGCAGTGGGCTGGGGTGCGACTTGGGCTGTGGGCAGTGGGCCATTCGGTTTTGACTTGGTTTGTGGGCTATTCGGTTCTGACTTGGGCTGTGGGCAATGAGCTATTTGGTATGTTTTGGTATATGTTGGTATGTGGGTTATTGTGTCGGTGGTTTGGATTGTTCGATTTGGGTTGGTGTGTTTGTGGTGAGTTGAGTTTTAATGGGGTTGCTGGTTCATGGTTTTTGTCGGTAAGTTGAAGTTTGTTGGCAGCAATACGGTTTGTGAAGAGGCAGACGGTGGTTCTGTCGCTGGTAGGCAGTCGGTGGCTTCTAGGATTGTGAGGTAGTGGGTTTGTGGGCAATCGGTGGCAGTGTGGTGGCTGGTGGCTGCGACGTAGAGGAGAGGTTAGGGTAGGATTAGGGTTGTGGCTTTATACCAACTAAGGAATTAACGTGAATAAAAGGGATACAAATTAAGTGTAGAGTCCCATATATACAGTCAATAAAAGTTACAATAAGGATAATAAAGAAAAAATTTAATAAACCGTAATAAACTAGGCTGCTAAATATCCAACACTATCTAACTTGATACCTTGGACCTCGGTTATTTCCAGCACCATCACTGGAAACGTAACAGACCTAGTGTTTATCATTCTAATCTAATTCCTAACATCAAGGAAGCACCGGTGCAAAGCAAATCTTCACAAGATGTCAAAAAGATCAACAAAAAGGTCAACAATAAAACATTTAAACGACAAAATTAGTCCAATAAATACTGAAATACAAAGTAAGTGTTGTGTCTTGTCCANAAACATTTAAACGACAAAATTAGTCCAATAAATACTGAAATACAAAGTAAGTGTTGTTGTCCGNGACAAAATTAGTCCAATAAATACTGAAATACAAAGTAAGTGTTGTGTCTTGTCCACATGACTTTACCACATATACAATGGAAAACAACATGAAAATGAAATTCACAAATGATTGGTAACAACAAAAGAGTATAAGTACAAACCTTGAGGAGGGAACTCGGGTTTAAACATGGGTGTCTCTGGTATCACAGTATTCCGCAACATCTGTCAATTACAAACAATTTTCTATAGTCAGTCTCTTCTGATATGAATCAGAATAGGATTATATCATTATATATCTATATATGGATAACATTGGAAATTCAAGTTTTAACACCATCAGACCTCAACCATTTTATTCTGCTTTTTCAATTGAGATATGATCAGAGAACCAATCAATGGCGCTTCGATTAACTTAACAAAAACCTTCAGCATCAACCCCGTCAAATGAGGAGCTGCAAAACCACCATCAATCCATGAATTAAACGCTGACCCAAAAAACCCAATTTCAAGAAAACAAAAAGATTCAAATTCAAAAAAGAAAAATGAAAAATAGAAGAACTCAGACCCTGGATTTGTTCCTGCTCGTATTTCACTTCCGTCAAGTCAATTTCACTCGCCGGCAACATCACCCGCTTCTTCCCCATTTCACGGCGACTAGTACGTGTGTGTGTGAGAGAGAGGCAATGACTTTCTCTCTCTAGGATGGTGAGTACAGATTTATGGTCGTTGAGATTGACCAGGTCAGTGACAGTAAGGTTCTCTTCTTGCTACTTTCTCGAGTATATATCTGAGTCAAATGCGTAAAAAGCTCAAGTCGCATTAAATATTTGGGTGAACGGATCAGATGGATCCAATGGATGTTAGGGTTGGTGAGAGAAGAAGACGCAGTAAGCGCGGAGTTAATTACGCACAGTGCGTATATTAATAAGATCTGCGGCTTATCTGCCATTAATCTATGGAGCTTTCAATGCTTTTTCAGTTGCTTTTAGTTGGGGGTTATGGAGGACTTCTAGATGCNCTGTCATGTGACCATCCACACCCGAGTCCAGCATCCATAGGAGAGACAGACTAGTATAAGCATGTAAGGCACGAGATATACCTGTAGTAGTGGTAGCAGCAGTAGTCGGACTCTGAGAAGTAAAAGCAGACATAAGTATATCTAATCGGAAAGTAATAATATCCATATTACTCTGCCAAGGAGGAGGAGTAACAAGAGTAGTGATAGTAGGTGATGGTACCTCAANCAGACATAAGTATATCTAATCGGAAAGTAATAACATCCATATTACTCTGCCAAGGAGGAGGAGTAACAGGAGTAGTGATAGTAGGTGATGGTACCTCAGCAATAGTAGTAGTACGACAGCGAGGAGGTGGCTTAAGCTCTGGATGGAGCTTTCAACAAGCAGCCTTGAGATGTCTTGGTCAGCCACAATAATCACACTAATGAGAATCCCCCCTATTTGTTCTGATTTGGGGCACCTTGACAGTGCTAGTCTGAGCGCTGCCCACCCCTAACTGAGGATCCTGAACGAGACCCTACATCTGCTACAAAGGTCATATGATCAGCCGGAAGAGTCAAGGCTGCAACTGGAAGTGATGCAATACGGACGCGGCGCTCATGCTACTTAATCATCGCATACACCTCATAAAGAGAAGGAAGCGTCAACATCAATAAGATTTGGGAACGAGATCTTTCAAACTCATCACGAAGCCCCATAAAGGAACTTGTGAATTTTATCCTCCTGCTCTCGAATATGCAAGAATGCTACTCCCTCGGGCTCTATCCTTGGAATAGCAGCAAGAGGACGTAGAGTCTCATACTCAAGTCAGCTTTGGGTCAAATAGCAATAATAATCTTGAATGGTCATATCTCTCTGCCGAGTATATGAGAGCTCCTGAGAAAGCTCATAAACATGTACTGCCCATCCTGACTGGGAATACATCT